GTTTAACATCCCTCAGGGAACCTAATGATAGCAGACTTGATAGTCATCATGTTTAACATCCCTCAGGGAACCTAATGATAGCAGACTTGATAGTCATCATGTTTAACATCCCTCAGGGAACCTAATGATAGCAGACTTGATAGTCATCATGTTTAACATCCCTCAGGGAACCTAATGATAACAGACTTGATAGTCATCATGTTTAACATCCCTCAAGGAACCTAATGATAGCAGACTTGATAGTCATCATGTTTAACATCCCTCAGGGAACCTAATGATAGCAGACTTGATAGTCATCATGTTTAACATCCCTCAGGGAACCTAATGATAGCAGACTTGATAGTCATCATGTTTAACATCCCTCAGGGAACCTAATGATAGCAGACTTGATAGTCATCATGTTTAACATCCCTCAGGGAACCTAATGATAGCAGACTTGATAGTCATCATGTTTAACATCCCTCAGGGAACCTAATGATAGCAGACTTGATAGTCATCATGTTTAACATCCCTCAGGGAACCTAATGATAGCAGACTTGATAGTCATCATGTTCAACATCCCTCAGGGAACCTAATGATAGCAGACTTGATAGTCATCATGTTTAACATCCCTCAGGGAACCTAATGATAGCAGACTTGATAGTCATCATGTTTCAACATCCCTCAGGGAACCTAATGATAGCAGACTTGATAGTCATCATGTTTAACATCCCTCAGGGAACCTAATGATAGCAGACTTGATAGTCATCATGTTTAACATCCCTCAGGGAACCTAATGATAGCAGACTTGATAGTCATCATGTTTAACATCCCTCAGGGAACCTAATGATAGCAGACTTGATAGTCATCATGTTTAACATCCCTCAGGGAACCTAATGATAGCAGACTTGATAGTCATCATGTTTAACATCCCTCAGGGAACCTAATGATAGCAGACTTGATAGTCATCATGTTTAACATCCCTCAGGGAACCTAATGATAGCAGACTTGATAGTCATCATGTTTAACATCCCTCAGGGAACCTAATGATAGCAGACTTGATAGTCATCATGTTTAACATCCCTCAGGGAACCTAATGATAGCAGACTTGATAGTCATCATGTTTAACATCCCTCAGGGAACCTAATGATAGCAGACTTGATAGTCATCATGTTTAACATCCCTCAGGGAACCTAATGATAGCAGACTTGATAGTCATCATGTTTAACATCCCTCAGGGAACCTAATGATAGCAGACTTGATAGTCATCATGTTTAACATCCCTCAGGGAACCTAATGATAGCAGACTTGATAGTCATCATGTTTAACATCCCTCAGGGAACCTAATGATAGCAGACTTGATAGTCATCATGTTTAACATCCCTCAGGGAACCTAATGATAGCAGACTTGATAGTCATCATGTTTAACATCCTCAGGGAACCTAATGATAGCAGACTTGATAGTCATCATGTTTAACATCCCTCAGGGAACCTAATGATAGCAGACTTGATAGTCATCATGTTTAACATCCCTCAGGGAACCTAATGATAGCAGACTTGATAGTCATCATGTTTAACATCCCTCAGGGAACCTAATGATAGCAGACTTGATAGTCATCATGTTTAACATCCCTCAGGGAACCTAATGATAGCAGACTTGATAGTCATCATGTTTAACATCCCTCAGGGAACCTAATGATAGCAGACTTGATAGTCATCATGTTTAACATCCCTCAGGGAACCTAATGATAGCAGACTTGATAGTCATCATGTTTAACATCCCTCAGGGAACCTAATGATAGCAGACTTGATAGTCATCATGTTTAACATCCCTCAGGGAACCTAATGATAGCAGACTTGATAGTCATCATGTTTAACATCCCTCAGGGAACCTAATGATAGCAGACTTGATAGTCATCATGTTTAACATCCCTCAGGGAACCTAATGATAGCAGACTTGATAGTCATCATGTTTAACATCCCTCAGGGAACCTAATGATAGCAGACTTGATAGTCATCATGTTTAACATCCCTCAGGGAACCTAATGATAGCAGACTTGATAGTCATCATGTTTAACATCCCTCAGGGAACCTAATGATAGCAGACTTGATAGTCATCATGTTTAACATCCCTCAGGGAACCTAATGATAGCAGACTTGATAGTCATCACGTTTAACATCCCTCAGGGAACCTAATGATAGCAGACTTGATAGTCATCATGTTTAACATCCCTCAGGGAACCTAATGATAGCAGACTTGATAGTCATCACGTTTAACATCCCTCAGGGAACCTAATGATAGCAGACTTGATAGTCATCATGTTTAACATCCCTCAGGGAACCTAATGATAGCAGACTTGATAGTCATCATGTTTAACATCCCTCAGGGAACCTAATGATAGCAGACTTGATATTTATCATGTTTAACATCCCTCAGGGAACCTAATGATAGCTGGTTACTATGGTTACTATGGTTACTATGGTTACTATGGTTACTAATGATAGCAGACTTGATAGTTTCGATAATGGGACTCTTCTTCAGAGGACCGGGTCTGATAGTAGAAAGCTATGCTAAGGGTTCCTTCCTGTCCAGCTTGTGTGATATTGTTCCTTTTGTTACATGGAGCGCACTTTACTGTGCCTCTCTCGCAGGTATTATACCTCACTTTACCTCCCTTTGCCTCTCTCGCAGGTATTTAATTAATTAACCTTAATACGATTATTATTTAAGGAGTTTAATTACTTACAGTTTTATAGTATAGTTGCTTTATATTGTTTGATGTCAACCTTTTCCACTGCAACTGATCATGATTATTAACAATTGAGGACAGCTGCACTGTAATTCGGACCTTTAGGCTTTTAGGGTCTGCCCACACTACGCCTCTATTCCCCGAATGTCTGCCCACACTATGCCATGTTTTGACGGGCCACATGGCGTGGGTCAAAAAAACCGGATTCACACAACGAGGCGCGTAGTGTGGGCAGAGCTCCCGCCAGTTGGTGTGGAAACTCTCGGGGAATTCTGGTACGGATTTTAAAAATCCTTGCCTCTATGTGTGAATCCGGTTTTTTGACCCACGCCATGTGGCCCGTCAAAACATGGCGTAGTGTGGGCAGACATTCGGGGAATAGAGGCGTAGTGTGGGCAGACCCTTACCGATAGTTGAAATTCGACATTTAGCGTCATCTAGCGCTATCTGGCGACATTGGAAAGGTGCCACGCAATTAGCGGCATTGTCGCTAATTGGCGCTATCTAGCGTCATCTAGCGTCATCTATCATCATTTGGCGTCATTTCACGCCAGATGACGCTAGATGACGCTAAATTTCGAATTTCAACTATCGGTAAAGGCAAAGGTCCTCATTTGTTAAGAATTCTGCTATGGAGGTTCTTAACAAGATACATACGATAGTAAGTTAATTAGCTGATTAATTAAATTGTATAAATTAATAGAAATGTTTATAAAATGTTAAATAATTACTGCTCAGTGCTGTGTATTACTTACAACAGAATGTTGGCACTAACGAACCCGCTGCAGTACAAAGTCAATGTTACGATAACTAACTCTATGAAATTGGTAAATATGTTTTATCGTTTTAAACGCTGGTAACTAGATCTCCTAGGCAAATTAAATAACTAGGCTGTTACGAGGATTATCTGCTCGATACACACTTTGGAATCATAAAACCCATCTTTATAGATGTATTTTTGACCGTTGAAGCGATTAAAAGTTGTCTCATGTAATTTGTAGTCAATTTTCACGGTCAAACCGCTAAAATTGGTTTCATTTTGATGTTTTTTGACATTTTAACATAAAAATTTGACCAAACCCATAATCATGGGTAGAGTGGACCGCTGCCAGTGTCTCTCTTTTCCAAACAAAATGAAATGATATTAATTTGAATAACCGTCCGCAAATGCAAATTGATACCGAGATTGAAATCGGTCGCTCGCTTTTCCCATTCATTTACAATTGTAATAGATTAAGAAGAACTACCCGAAGGCAGCTGTACTCGGCAATAAAGATTGGGAAAAGAGAGACACTGGCAGCGGTCTACTCTACCCATGATTATGGGTTTTGATTAAATAGTATAGTATAGAATGTATAATTAAGAGGCACGGTCATGCTTGCCAGCACTGTGATAGACGCTTTGGTAGTCAATTATTGCCTACATTCAAGTGTCCGTAGAATCAGAAGCTTTAAAGATACAGCCATTTCAGACCACAGGTCTTAAAGATAATTGTTAAGACTTTAGTTTACATTATATCAAAAAAATAATTTAACGTCATCATCACCACTTGATGACGTCATCAAATTAACCGTTTTTAAAACTTGATTTTTGACAAAGTAATAATACCTTTTCAAATCGATTTTACATCATTAAGGAGCAATTTTATTCAAAATTTGAGGGGAAATTGAAGTTAGATAATTGTTCAAGCATTCTGAAAATCTACCGTAAAGTTTTCCTACCTTGCTCCTTTATAAAGATATTCGCTATTGAAGTGCTTTTCTAAAGAATAATTTCACAAAAATACAAAAGTTATGATTTAGTATTCTCTGGTGTTGGGCCATGCCTTGTCGAGTTGTGGACTGTGGAGCTCAGTTCTGCTTCCTATAGGTCTAAATTGTGCATTAGGCTGGTTTAAAAGTTGAAAATAGAAAAGGACACGCCCAAATTGATATAAAATCGCTAAAATCACTGAAAATTGCTATTTTCACCATTTGTCATCTTTGGAGTCCCGTTGTAATCCAAGTTCTTTTTGAAATCTTTTGAAACTTTGCATGCTTATCAATCAATTTATAAAACACCAATATGCAAAACTTTACGGTGATTCAATATTGAATGCGCACGCAACGTCCGCTCAAAGTTTGCACGTGCGAAAGGTGAGAATTCTGCTCATTCGTGAATTCGAACAAATTCTGCTTTCCCACGACAGTTAAATGGCATTATATATGAATTTAATGTTAACTTGAATGAGTATATAGTGGCATATTCAGTCAGATATGCTTACCTAAACACAAGTCTAAATAGATCTGGAATTCGCCGTTTCCGTTCATACTGTATAAACTACAATTTAGGTTCTTTACGCAGTATTCTAACTTTGACTTAACTCGTAAAATTATTACTTGTTTCCATTTTTTTCTAAATTAAATCTGAAGCTTTAAAAAACACATAAACTTGATGAAACACGTAAATTAAATGAAAAACTTAAATTTGAAAGGTTCTGATCACTTTAAAGTTTGTGCGCCCTTTTCCATCTCCTCTTCTTGCACCTACCCCATCTCACCTTCTTGCACCTCTGTCATAGAGAAAAGTACCAGTATCTGAACAGCAGAGAGCACCAAAGCAGTGCTTATAACAGACGACGTGGGAGCAAAAGCGACCATTGCCGACCCGGTCATCCCTCCTATCATACCTAATGAGGAGGCGGTGCTACTCCCTAGAGCAAAGTCTTTTGTTCCAAAGTAGTTCACGTCGTAGAGTACGTAACATATGTTCAAGGCAGTGATCCCGTACACAAACTTAGCTACGAAGTTGGTTAAAATCGCTATAACGAGGCTTTCTTGTGAGAGCATAAGTGCAAAATTTCCTATGTATATCAAGGCAATTACACCCTGTAGTTTACGAAATCCTATCTTTCCTTTAATACAGTAGGTGAGCAGTGTAGAGGGTATGGCTGCGAAGTTAACGAGTCCCAGTAACAAGAGTTCCGGCCCTCGAGTCATGGTCACAGAGCAATCACTACTAGATCCTGCTTCCTTGATATTGAACATTTTGATCAGGGCTGGAACGAGGAGGGTGGTAAGCCAGCCATTGAAAGTTATACAAGCAAAGAGCAACCCTAGTTTGGTGGTTCGGCCAACAAAGTTAGGGACGGTCACTGTTTCTTTCTCATCACTGTATTCTATCTGTGGGCCTACTCTCTCTGTGAAACAGCAGTGAAGCATGAAGATTGGTGGAATGAGTATGGGTAATGACGCACAAAGAAAGAACATTCTCCATCCAATCAGGTCGAGAAGGAGGAACCCCAACACCGACGACCACATTTCCCCCGCATAGTACACTATGGACTGTACCATTAATATCTTAGCTAGAATCTGTTGACTGGAAACCATCTCAGCGACCCAAACATAAAGCAGGGTGTGTCTCAGTCCAAGACAAAAGCCAAGGAGTATTCGGGAAAGAAGGAGAGTGTTAAAGTCTGCAACTATAGCACAGACTATTGTACTCATTGCACTCAGGTAGAGCGAGATTATAATCAACTTCCGTCTTCCAAACCTGAGATAAAACTTTATAACCTACACATTTTGAATTTCTGTACCTATTAGCAGATAAACAGTTACAATCATAATCATCGGGCTATTAGTATTATAGTATAGCCTAGTATAGTATAGCCTAGTATAGTATAGCCTAGTATAGCCTATTTATAGTATTATAGTATAGTATAGCCTAGTATAACCTAGTATAGTATAGCCTAGTATAGCCTATTTATAGTATTATAGTATAGCCTAGTATAGTATAGCCTAGTATAGCCTATTTATAGTATTATAGTATTAGCCTATAAACAGCAATTTGCGACGCTTACCTTATTGACAGTGGTCCGGCAATGAAAGTTGAAATTACTAATGCGATATATAAACTACATTTCAGTAATCCTTCCTTCCAGGGAGACAGTTCAATGTCACACGAAACTTGTTGTGTCAGCATTCCTGAGGAGACGACGGATGTTTATCAGGCTTCTACTGTCTACACTTATTCACTAGTTGCCTCAATTATAAGTTAAAACTTTAAACGTTGTACAAACCAGGTAGGTCAATTTCTGTTCCATCTGCAAAATCGCACAGGGCACAAAACATCAACAAGAGCTTATCGATTCTCGTCCAAGATCTAAGATGTCCTCCTGTATCGTTCAATATATCATCTTCACCAAGTATGACTTCATAATCATTGTTCATCTTGTTTAAGGACGTATATGTTACCGAGTGAAATATAGCAAATATCAAATGAAACACAATGATATACTGTCTGTTCAATCCACACTACTTTTGAATGAAATTAATATGTTTTGTGGCCAGCTGATGAAGTAAAAGTTTAAAGTAAAGATTTGTAAAACTATTTTTTTGCTATAAAGTCCGTCTATAACAGTAACTAAAATTACAGACAAATTATCTAACTAACTTAATGCCTCTGATAACAAATTTAATCACTCCTTAATGGTATAGAAAACCGAGTTTCTGGGGTTTAGTGTATGCTAGTCAAGCTCTAGTCACGTAACACGAACGGCAGGGCGTATACCGTATGATAGAAATGAAACGAGTAAATGAAAGGGAGAAACTATAAAATAGAAAAGTAATACAAAGTGAACGTCAACAGATAAAAACTCCTTAGTTCGCTCCAAACGATTGAAGTGAATATAAATCACTTGACGTGTCTAATCACAGAGGATATAGTGCTCAGTCAAACTGGCTATCGACAATCGGATCCCTTAAAATGATTAAGGGGCAACTAGAGGTTATACTCTCAAAAGCTGTCACGCCATAATGCGTGACGGCACAACGCATCTGCTTGCACCACGTGACTCACAGTTTCGCCAATGAGCACTCCACTAGCAGTCACCCTGTGGCCGCGAGGACCAACCACAGGCCTGGCTGTAAGTCAGGTGCAAAAGTGAGCGGACGGCTCATTTCTGACAGTTGGTCTGCCAGTCAACCAATCTTACACTCAAAATGTGTAACTCCCGAATACGAACATATAAAAGCATTGGTTATCTATATACCCGGAAACACATACTAAATTCTACGTCCTTTAAACGTTATACTAAAACTAAGATATCCTAAAAGATATCTCAAAATACCATTATATTACAACAACGGTGTAAAATTGATTTGAAAAGTTATTACTTTGTCAAAAATCAATTTTTAAACGGTTAACTTGATGACGTCATGAAGTGGTGATGATGACGTTAAATTATTTTTTCATATAACGTAAACTAAAGTCTATAACGTAAACTAACGTAAACGATTATTTTCATAACTTGTGGTCCAAGACGGCTGTATCTTTAAATCTTTTGAATCTACGGATGCACTTGAATGCAACCTATAATTGACTGCCAAAGCGTCTATCTATCTATGTATCAGTATATATTATCTTATATTATATACTTCACGACAATCTGTTGTAAAACAGGGGTTCCAAAAAACCCACTTCCTGCGAAGTGGGCCCGATACTCCTGAAACTTGATTTTTTGCAGTCGATTTGGTCAACGTCTAGACGCCCTGCAAAATGTCAGATCTCTGACTCAATTTCAACATGGTTTTTAAGGCACCTGAATATGGCGATTTTGTGTTTTTTAACGAATTTTGTATAACAGTGTTGGCGCGTATTTTGCGCAAATTACTTAAATTTAACCTCCACATAACTATTTCTTATTCCTGTCATCTTTGACATCGAATTAGAATGTTTATGTTTTTCAACTAAAAATAAACCTGCTGATAACCTACGATAGTGTTAATATACATGTAATGTATATATAATGTATATAATGTATATAATGTATATAATGTATATAATGTATATAATGTATATAATGTATATAATATATATAATGTATATAATGTATATAATGTATATAATGTATATAATGTATATAATGTATATAATGTATATAATGTATATAATGTATATAATGTATATAATGTATATAATGTATATAATGTATATAATGTATATAATGTATATAATGTATATAATGTATATAATGTATATAATGTATATAATGTATATAATGTATATAATGTATATAATGTATATAATGTATATAATGTATATAATGTATATAATGTATATAATGTATATAATGTATATAATGTATATAATGTATATAATGTATATAATGTATATAATGTATATAATGTATATAATGTATATAATGTATATAATGTATATAATGTATATAATGTATATAATGTATATAATGTATATAATGTATATAATGTATATAATGTATATAATGTATATAATGTATACAATGTATATAATGTATATAATGTATACAATGTATATAATGTATAATATAATGTATATAATGTATATAATCTATATAATGTATATAATGTATATAATGTATATAATGTATATAATGTATATAATGCATATAATGTATACAATGTATATAATGTATATAATGTATATAATGTATATAATGTATATAATGTATATAATGTATATAATGTATATAATGTATAATATAATGTATATAATGTATATAATGTATATAATGTATATAATGTATATAATGTATGTAATGTATATAATGTATATAATGTATATAATGTATATAATGTATATAATGTATATAATGTATATAATGTATATAATGTATATAATGTATATACATGTGTCCCAGGTGGTGATGACATGGCTATCAGTGATACTCTACTTTGTGATATCTGTTGTTACTTTTCACATAGGTTTCCAACATGTCACCTTTATGGACCGGTCAGTCTTTACTCTTCGAATTTTCGTAAATTATCAATATAATAACTGTTAAATTTGGATCAATAATCAATACTATTAGTATTAAGGGCTGCAGTAAAAAGAGCATAACAATACGTCATAAAATTAGCCTAAAACTTCACTTCACTGTTTATTGGTTAATAATTACCATAATTACCATAATTACCATAATTACCATAATCACCATAATTACCATAATTACCATAATTACCATAATTACCATAATTACCATAATTACCATAATTACCATAATTACCATAATTACCATAATTACCATAATTACCATAATTACCATAATTACCATAATTACCATAATTACCATAATTACCATAATTACCATAATTACCATAATTACCATAATCACCATAATCACCATAATTACCATAATTACATTAATTACCATAATTACCATAATTACCAACACCATACTTTTCAGCTGTTTTTTTGACTCTGGCTCACACGGAAAGATATTCATCATTGCTTGTGACACTGTCTTCTTCCTTCTCCCCCTCACAGTGAGATATCTCTTTAAAATATTGTAATTACTTTGCACAATACCACCATACTGTAATACTGTGTTGTATTCGTAACATTACCGTAGCTGTAAATAAAATCCGGATTGGAATATTATTTATGAGTCGCATAGTTGAAATTTTTTCTTGGGTAAATTCCTATTGATTCCGTTCAATGCGACAAAGAAAAGGCTCTTATCAGGAAAGAAATTGTTCAACGTTTCAATGTGACAACATCGTAACCATCATAAAAATACTAGTCACATAACAGATATACCACGTGGTCACTACACGTGGTCACTACACGTGGTCACTACACGTGGTCACTACACGTGGTCACTACACGTGGTCACTACACGTGGTTTGTGACGTCACATAACAGATATACCACGTGGTCACTACACGTGGTTTGTGACGTCACATAACAGATATACCACGTGGTCACTACACGTGGTTTGTGACGTCACATAACAGATATACCACGTGGTCACTACACGTGGTTTGTGACGTCACATAACAGATATACCACGTGGTCACTACACGTGGTTTGTGACGTCACATAACAGATATACCACGTGGTCACTACACGTGGTTTGTGACGTCACATAACAGATATACCACGTGGTCACTACACGTGGTTTGTGACGTCACATAACAGATATACCACGTGGTCACTACACGTGGTTTGTGACGTCACATAACAGATATACCACGTGGTCACTACACGTTGTTTGTGACGTCACATAACAGATATACCACGTGGTCCCCAAGATACGACTATTTTCACCTCTAATCCTGCCTACCTGCCTAGCTAGGTCACCACCTTTAATAACTTTATCTTACACTTGAAGCTACAACCTCAGGGAACATGTAATACCGTGAGTGTGGTTTGTGACGTCATTACACGTGGTTTGTGACGTCATTACACGTGGTTTGTGATGTCATTACACGTGGTTTGTGTCGTCACTACACGTGGTTTGTGACGTCATTACACGTGGTTTGTGACGTCATTACACGTGGTTTGTGATGTCATTACACGTGGTTTGTGTCGTCACTACACGTGGTTTGTGACGTCATTACACGTGGTTTGTGACGTCATGACACGTGGTTTGTGATGTCACTACACGTGGTTTGTGATGTCACTACACGTGGTTTGTGACGTCATTACACGTGGTTTGTGATGTCATTACACGTGGTTTGTGACGTCATTACACGTGGTTTGTGACGTCATTACACGTGGTTTGTGATGTCATTACACGTGGTTTGTGACGTCATTACACGTGGTTTGTGACGTCATTACACGTGGTTTGTGATGTCACTACACGTGGTATGTGATGTCACTTCACTATCAATTACTCTGCAGGGGATACTATACATGTACTACCGCATAGTAAGAGTGGTGAGAAGAGAGCGGGTGGCAAATAAAAACAGAGCAGCCATTGATAGAATCAGGGAGGCGGTATTCAAGAACATTTCTTTTCTTCTCTTCTTTTTCACGCTCTCTTGGTTCCCCAACTACGCCATTGAGGTCAAAGTTTTATTTTCCCCTGGTAAGCTTATATTAATTGATCATTTAGATTTTATGATTCACTTTTAAGACATGAAAATTTCAAAGTGGGAATATCGTCGACTTTCATATGAATAGAATGCTGAATGAAATGTTTGCTGAATGATATGTTTGCCGAATGACATGTTTGCTGAATGACATGTTTAATGTTTATCAACGAAACAAGGTCCAGCAAGAAACTTTACTGTGGAAGACATTGTGGTCATCATGTTCTATTCCAACCTAGTCCTTGATCCGTTAGTTTACGGTGTAGGGTCCCGAGACTTCCGAGGTAAAATAGGTAAACCTAATTTACATATTGAAATGGTTTACATACTGATTTATTGAAATGGTTTACATACTGATTTATTGAAATGG